TTTTTAATGATTTTGAGTTTTGTTCCATATTGTTCTCCCTCTCTATCCAGGATCTCCTACATAGATCCCCCTCCGAGTAGTTGACAGTGGTAGCCAGGCTCCTCTAGTTCTGGTCTCATAGTCTTGTAGGCTGAGGATTGCATGGTGTACCAGTTGCTTGGACTAATTGTTTCCATGTATCTTTGGTTTTCTTCATTCTTCTTTGCTCTGGATGAGGAAAGACCCATCATCACATCTAGATGGCTGCTTGCAAACTTTTAAGATCCCAGTCACTATTCACCAAAATAGGATGTGGAACAATTTTTTTTTTTTTAATTGTGATTTAGGTGAAATTTTATGGAGCAAATTCACTTTCCATACAGCAATTCACATACACTTTGGCTCATGTCATTGACCACAATTTACCACTACCTGTTGCATCATTTTCAAGCACCTCCTCCCTGTCCCCCATCTCTGGAATCAAGAATTGGTAGATTCATCTTGTTTCCTAGTCCTCTCCCAGGCATGGTGTTCACAGGGTCAGAATTTGGAGCCAGCAGGCCTAGATAGGAATCCTGATGCTGCTATGTTCTCATCAGGCAAGGCTTTTCCCCCCTTAGAGCTTGGGATGAGCAGAGTCACCTTTCAGGGCTGCTCTGAGGATTCAGTGAGAGGAAGGGCTTTGGGGGCTGGAGCAGGCTGGCAAATGCTACCAAATTCCAGGGACACAGATTCTTCCAGGGCCCAGGCAGGTAGCATGACGAGGTAAAGATGGCTGGATTGTCATGGTGGTAGGGAGTGGTGGGGGCTGGTGACCTAGAGAGTGTGAGCCTGTCTAAAGGTACACCACTCCTAAGCCAGCCGACGGGCCAGGAGGCTCTCTGGTTTTACGGGGGCCAGATCCGCTGACTGTTAAGGGAAGCCAGGAATCTAGATTTTCACAGGAACATTTTCCTAGTTTTTGCGCTGGGCATATTTGTGGGCCACCTCTTTGAGACTCCTGATGAGGACCCTGCTCAAGCTCCCTCAGTGTCACCTCTCTGGGCCTGGGACTCCAGCAGTGCTGAGGTCCTCAGGTATGACCTTTGTGTCCCCCCCAAGCGAAGGGGAGTGGGATTTCTACTGGTGCGACGTGAGCTGGCTCCGGGAGAACTTCGACCACACCTACATGGATGAGCACGTGCGAATCAGCCACTTCCGAAACCACTACGAGGTGAGCTGGGCAGGCCGGAAGGGGTTGTATCAGCCAGCTCTTGCTGTTGGTGTGGAGTGAGCAGGAGCTGGTTTCAGGGGGGTATTGGAGCTGGAATGGAAGTCCCTGGATGGTGTAAATGGTTACTCTGCTAAGCTGCTAACCAAGAGGTTGGAGGTCCAAGTCCCCCTAGAGATGCCTTGGAAGAAAGGCCTGGCAATCTGCTTCTTAAAAATCAGCTATTAAACACTGTGCAGCCCGGTTCTACCCTGACGGCCACGGAGTCACCATGAGCTGAAGTCGACTGAACAGTAACTGTGTCTTAGGACCAGAACAGGAAAATGTAAAGGAGTTTCGAGATGCATGTTGAGTGGGGAATGTGCAGACTAGATATTTGATGAGCTAAGTTGTTTGAGAGGGTGAGGGTCTAAGACCTAAGGAACAGACCTGCTTGGGTGGGGATTTGAGATCCTAGGTTGTCATTTCACCACTAGAGCTGTGAGGGGCAGGCTGGTGTGGGATGCAAGGACCAAAGGAGTAGGGTGATCATGGTGACTTCAGGGGAGAGGCAAGTTGGGCAGTTTGGGGTCTAGAGATGGAAGGGTGGTGTGGGAGCAACCAGAGGAGGCAATGGTGGGAGAGCTCTCACTCAAAGGTTAGTGTAGCTTAGTGGTTAAAAACATGAACCTAGGGGCCAGACAAGCCTGGTTCCTTTTCAAGGCTGCTTCCTCACCTGTAAAATCAGGATAATTCTAGAAGAGCTAGCTTTCAAAGTTACTATGACTGTTATCGTTATTTTGTGAGGCTAGGTTGGGAGGTGGAGGAGGGCAGTAAGCACAAGTGCTAATGGCCTGCCCACCCTGCTGCCCAGCTAACCCGCAAGAACTACATGGTGAAGAACCTGAAGCGGTTCCGGAAACAACTGGAGCGTGAGGCGGGAAAGCTGGAGGCAGCCAAGTGTGACTTCTTTCCCAAAACCTTTGAGATGCCATGTGAATACCACCTGTTTGTGGAGGAGTTCCGCAAAAACCCAGGCATCACCTGGATCATGAAGCCTGTGAGTGCCCAGGGCTGTGGATGAGGAAATGGGGAAGAAAGAGGCATCCCGGGTCTGGGGCAGGGCTCTCTGATGGCCTATCTCAGGACCCAAGTCTGCCTAGAAATCCGTTAGATGCACTGTCTGCCTCCCCTGGAAGGCAGACTGTATCTCCTCTTTTCTGCAGTGTGTGGACCCAGCAGCTACAACTGCTGGCACACAGTAGGTGCTCAATAAGTATATATTGAATGAACAGGGACATCAGGGCAGGGAGTCCAGAGCTTCACTCGAGTTCAGATTCATGATAGAAAAAGGTGACTGGGCCATTGTCTTACTTAGCTAGTGCTGTTATAACAGAAATACCACAAGTGGATGGCTTTAACAAGCAAAATTTTATTCTCTCACAGTGTAGGAGGGTAGAGATCTGAATTCAGGGTGCCAGATCTAGGGGAAAACTTTCTCTGTCAATGCTGGGTTACAGTCCTTGTCTCTTTTCACATCTGTGGGCCCAGCATTCCTTGGAGATCTCCATGTGTCTTGGCATCAATCTTCTTCTGGGTCTAGGAGGTTCTCAGCACAGGACTCTGGCCCCAGAGGATGCCCTCCTCTCCAAAGGACCCCTTCCCTTCCAAGCTCATCTTTCTTAGTGGGAGTCAGGGCTCTCCTTCTCTACTTGCTTCTCTCTCTCTTTATCTTTTTTTTAGGTAAAAGGTGTGACTCAAGCAAGGGTGTGACTTGAGTAAGGGTGGTAGCTTGAGTAGGGGTATGACTTGAGTCATACCCTCTTTCTTTAAAAAAAATTTTTAAGAGTTTATTTTACATTTAAAATTATGTGTACATTTAGTTTCACTCCCCATTTACCATGTCCAACCCTAACCCAGTCTCCTCCCTCCCTGTCCAGTAACCATCGCCCTGTGCCCCTCATAGTTATGCACTGCTGTTTGTCCTGTATTTCCTCCATGTGAATGTTGCCCCTATGGTGCCCCATGGTCGATTGCTCCACGGGGTGCATTTCCATAGAGTATGTGGGTGCATCACCCTGGATTGAGTGATCTGCATGTACCTCCTGTTTACTATTGGGCTGAGAGCCAGCCCCTGGGAGTGAGCTTTATTCCAGGCCCAGAATGTATGCCAGGACCATAATATTGGGGGGTTTCACCTGACTTCATCTGATCAGTAATTCTGGCCATTACTGAGTTTTTGGATTTTGTTCCATGTTTTTCCTCCCACTCTATCCAGGATCTCCAGATTTGAGCCTTTCCTGGGTGGTTGGGGTAGCTGGGCACCATCTAGTTCTTCTGGTCTCAAGGGCCATCATGTTCTAGGACTGATTGCTTCCAAATGCCCCTGGTTTTTTGTTTGTTTTTTTTTTCACTCTTCTTCGCTTAAGATAAAAGGTGTGATTCAAGCAATGGTGTGACTTGAGTAAGGGTGGTAGCTTGAGTAGGGGTAGGACTTGAGTCACACCCCTCTTATAAAGCTGTAACTCAAGGTACAGTTTATCCTAATCCTTCCTCATTAACATATACCCCCCCAAAAAAACAAACCCTCACTGTTGTCAAGTTGGATCCAACTCATAGTGACCCCTCCTTGGATTTCTAAGTGGTATCACTACAGAAGTAGATTGTCCAACCTTCCTTCTGAACATTAACATATAGAGGTTAAGATTTACAACATATATACGAAATGTGTTGCATCAAAAGAAGATGGAAGGAATACACAGAATCACTGTACCAAAAGGAATTGGTTGACTTTCAACTATTTCAGGGGGTAGCAAGAACTGATGGTACTGAAGGAATAAGTCTAAGCTGGCAAAAAACAAGGCCCCAGGAATTGACAGAATACTAACTGAGATGTTTCAACAAATGAATACATCACTGGAAGTACTTGCTTGTCTATGCCAAGAAATCTGGAAGACAGCTACCTGGCCAACTGACTGTAAGAGATCCATATTTGTGCCCATTCCAAAGAAAAATGATCCAGTAGAATGTGGAAATTATCAAACGAAATCCCTAATATCATATGCAAGTAAAATTTTACTGAAGATAGTTAAAAAATGGTTGCAGCAGTACATTAACAAAGAACTGCCAGAAATTCAAGCTTGATTCCGAAGAGGACGTGGAACAAGGATATCATTGCTGATGTAAAATAGATCTTGGCTAAAAGCGGAGAATAGCAGAAAGATATTTACCTGTGTTTTATTGACTATGCAAAGGCATTAGACTGTGTAGATAATAACAAATTATGGATAACATTGCAAAAAGTGAGAATTCCAGAACATTTAATTGTGCTTATGTGGAATCTGTATATAGATAAGAGGCATTCTTTTGAACACAAGAAGGGGTCACTGTGTGGTTTAAAATCAAGAAAGGTGTGCATCAGGGTTGTACCTTTTCCTTATAGTTATTCAATCTGTATGCTGAGTGAATAGTCCCAGAAACTGGACTATATGGAGAATAATGTGGCATCATGATTGGAGGAAGACTCATTAACAACCTGCAATATGTAGGTGACACAACCTTGCCTGTTGAAAGTGAAAATTACTCAAAGCACATACTGATGAAGATCAAAGACTGCAGCCCTCAGTATGGATTACACTTCAACATAAAGAAAACAAAAATCCTCACAACTGGACCAATAAGCAACATCATGATAAATTCAGAAAAGACTGAAGTTGTCAGGGATTTCACCTTACTTGGATCCACAGTCACCACCCATGGAAGCAGCAGTCAAGCAATCAAATGACGTAATGCATTGGGCCAATCTGCTACAATAACGTCTTTAAAATGTTAAAAAACAAAGATGTCACTTTGAGGACTTAGAGGTGCTTGACCCATTTTTCAATCCCTCACATGCATGGTCAATGAATAAGGAAGACCAAAGAAGAATTCATGCCTTTCAATTATGGTATTGGTGAAGAATATGGAACAAATATTGAACAGAAGAATGAACAAGTCTGTCTTGGAAGGAGTACGGTCAGAATGCTCCTTAGAAGGGAGGATGACGAGACTCCATCTCACGTGCTTTGGACATGTGATCAGGAGAGACCAGTCCCTGGAGAAGGACGCTGTGCTTGGCAGAGGGCCAGTGGAAAAGGGGAACCCTCAATGAGATGAACTGACACAGTGGTGGCAACAACGGACTCATAGCAATGATTGTGTAGATGGCACAGGACCGGGAGATGTTTCATCCTATTGTACGTAGGGTCGCTATGAATCAGAACTGACTTGACAGCACCTCACAACCACAGCAGCATCACAAAATAGAGGGTAATTACATCAGATCACAAAATGGAGGACACGCGCACAAAACCAGGAATCATGGCCTAGCCAGGTTGACACATATTTTGTGGGGACACAGTTCAATCCATGACAGCCACATAGAGTGTTTTACTGGCATTATCTAAATCCTTATGATGGCCCTGTTGTTGTTGTTGTTTGTTGTCCAGTCGGACCCGACTCATAGCAACCCCTCCTTGGGTTTCCGAGGCAGTATCACCATGGAAGTAGATTGCCCCATCTTCCTTCTGAGGACTGGCTGGTGGGTTTGAACCACCAGCCTTCTGGTTAGCAGTCAAATGTCTTAGGTACTACGCCACCAGAGCTTCTTATGATGGCCCTAGGGGGAAGTATTACCACTCCCCATTCAAAGATGAGGAGGCCAAGGCTTATTTACTCAAGCGTTCCCCAGATACTTATTGAGCAATTGGCATGTGCCAGGCACGGAAGTAAGCACTGTAAGCACTGGGATAAAGCCCTTAGCAAATCAGATATCTGGTCTCTGAGCTTCTTGTTGACAGACGATAAGCAAACAGGATACACGTGTGATTACACTTGTGGTAAGTGTTACTAAGGAGAATGGTGCCAGGAGAGGGAACAGTAGGAGGCTCTCACTCAGCCAGGCAGGCCCCTCTGAAGAAGGAAAAGCTTTAGCTCTGAGCCCAAACCCCTTAAATCAAATACTGTCTTACCACTTATTAGCTATGTGACCTCAGGCAAATAACTTAACTTCTCTGTGTCCCACTCTCCCCATCTGCAAAGTGGGACTAGTAGTGCCTGTTTTATGGTATGGTGTAAATGAACTAACACAGCTAAAGCACATAGTAAGTGCTCAATAAATAATAATTAGAATTGAGCTACAAACTAAAGGATGTTTAGGTGTCAGCCTGGGAAAGGGGTGGAGGAGGTGAAAAGTATCCCAGGCAAAGGGAACAGCATGTTTGAAGACCTTGCATCTGGAGGTGGCCATTTAGGGATGAAGAAATAGAAGAGGCCAAGGGGAGTCGAGCATCTCCAGGTGCTCAGCCCTTCCTTCCTGCCAAGCCTGGTCATCTCTTACCCCAAAGCTGTGCACCGCCATAGCCTTGAATTGTGTCATCACAAGCCCTGGCTTGGGAGCATGCCAGGCCCCAGGAAGAGAGCTGATGGTAGGGTAGGAGGGAGCTGCCTTTCCTTGTGGAGCTGAAGACCAAGGCCTGGTGTTGGCTAACACAGGCCAATAGCACATGTGGTTGGAGGGGCTACTGTTATCAGAAGGGAGAGTAGACATCAATGGATATTCCCAACAGGGGCTGAGGTGGAATTTGAACCCAGGCTGCCAAGATCCTTTCTCTGGTCCCTCCTGCTTTCTGAGACCTGCTGGAAGTCCTGAGTCCTGGGAAGGCTGAGGGAGGAGGGCGCTGAGCCTGGAGCAGTAGGAGTTAGACCAAGGAGTGATGGGGGCTTCCAGCTCCAGCAGTATCCTCTCAGACAAATAGTAATTTGTGCTAATTGGGAACGAGCAATTGCATATTAAGTTGATTCCTTTCCCAGCCCACGGCCTTTGTTAGCAGCAGACGAGACAGCTGTAATTAAGAGAAGGAAGCTGGGCTCTGTGTGTATGTGTGTCCTTTTCCCCAGTAGCCGAGGCGCCCTGTCTGGGCTGGGGGTGTGGAGAGTAGGCGCTTCTGGTCTAACTGGCTTGGGTTCTAGCCCACCATGTATGAGCTGTCTGATCTGGTTACTCAACCTCTCTCAGTCTGT